GTTCCAGGAGCAACCCATCCCAGAGCCAAGCATTTTGGCAGGAGCTCTTTCTTCCTAATAGGCAAACGTGGGCAGGCTTAGCACTCAGCTGTGCTTTGCCCATCACAGTAGAGTTACTGAGTGCAGGGTGTTCTCTCTCTCTCTCTCTCTCTCTCTCTCTCTCTCTCTCTCTCTCTCTCTCTCGTGTGTTTGTGTGTGTGTGTGTGTGTGTGTTGCTGTGGATTCCAGGGTGGAACATGATTTGATACACACCCGATTCTTATACTGTATGTTCCCTGCATGGCTTGTGGTGAGAGCTGACTCCACTAGGCGGAATGGAGCGCAGGGTGGCTGTCAGAGATGCATTGGACAATCCTCACTATTTTATTTATTTTAAACATCTTTACTCTGACGTTAGCCTTGGAAGGCAGCCCATCTAGGAGAAGGAAAACTCCGCTTTCAAACCTCCACTGCCTTGTTTCTATATCTACTAATGGAAAAGGCTTCAGGAATAAACCTCGAGGCAAAATCCGGAGCCGGAGTCCCGGAGGCAGTTCATGTCGTTCTGACAACTCCTGCGACATTGCTGGAACCAGTTGTATTGGCTCTTGCCTTTCCATTGGACTATTTCAGTGATGTGGAGAGGGGGGATTTGCTGCCAGATATATTACTTTACCCAGGCTTCGTGCTCTGGAGAGGACATTCCAGCTTCGCATACAGCGTCAAAGTCCTCCATACAGAGCACGTCACCATAGTCTCTCGAGACTGAAGGATGCCGTGAAGAAGTTGAAGTCTTCAGCAGCACAAAGGAATGGAAGAGGCAATTCATATCTGATGAAGTGGACTTGTCCACAAAAGCCCACATTAAAAAATACAAATGTTAGTCTTTAAGGTCCCACCATGTTTTTTCCTTAATTTTTATTTTGTTTTCAGTTGCACAGACAAACACGGCTACCTTTTCTACAGGTCTCAAAAACGTACACCTAGGGATCTGTGGAAGGTCATATTAAAATATAACAGTCTTTAAGGTACAACAATATATTTGTGTCTCTTTTTTTGTCTGAAATTAATAATACATGCAATCAAGTTGATTCTGATTCACTTACTTTCCTTGTGTGAGAGGCACCACAGTATATATACAGTATATCAGAAAATTTTAACCCAACAACAGGCAACATCAAGGGCATTAACATCAAGGACATTTATAGGGGCTAACATCGTGGTACATGTTGAAGTGCTTAAAGTACCCTACATTGACATAAGTGTGAAATTTTCAGCTCCACAGTCAAGCTGTTTCAGCTTCTATTAACTTTTATTGATTTGTCTTTTTGATGTGCCAAAATACTTGACATTGTTCTTGCTGGGAAATGGCTCTCCCTTTGTCCTGATACTTTTGAAATATTTGTATATATTGTATAATTGCTTTGGTGTCTGTCTCCAACTGTGTACACTGCTATGGAAATGCACATGCCGTATGTCATCAAAAAGCATTCAGCAAGTGCCAGCTGGCTGCATAGCTCAGTGAGTTGGGTTCTTGGCTGCAGAGCCAGAGATTGGGCGTTCAATCCACCAGTTATATGCTTCCAAAAGACAAGGTAGTCTGTGTAGCCTTGGGCAAGCTGCACAGTCACAGAGCACTCATTGAAAAAGAGAGAGGTAAACTGCTGCTGAGTAAAAATCCTGGAAAGGGTGGCCATATGCTGGAACCAACTTAATGGCACATAATTAAGTTGCAGCTACCTATGCCTGTATTAGAAAGTTTTGGGAAGCTACTGTTCTATCAAACACAGCCTTACCTGAAATGTGGAGATCACAGTGCATGCGGTTGAAACAATAGCAGAGTGTGAGACTATTTGCTGTGTATCATTGCAAAGTTTTTATCAGCCCCTCCTGTATCAAATATTTGCTTATAAGTTTTTCCTGGTGTATGTATGTGTAATGAAATGCCAAGGAGTAAACTTGAGACATTCTGTACACAAAGTACGTACTTTGTCACTGACCTGTTGGCCTTCTTCAGATAACTGAGGCGGTTCATCGTATTCACTTTTGCTCCAAGGTGTCTCTCTCTCTCTCTCTCTCACACACACACACACACACACACACATACACACACACACACTGTTGAAAGTAACATGCACCTAATAAAATATTGTTAAAATAGTGCGATGAATCTCATCTTCATCTGCTGAGGACATATATATTGGTTTATATATGTTACAGTAAGTGAAAATGCCCCTGGAGAATGTTGTGACAAACTCTCAACCTATTTTACATTTTTACATATAAATTGTATTACAATTTAAAAATGCAATTTATAACAGAGGATTATAGGCAAGCATACACCTGTTAGTTCACATGTAACAAAAAATAACGGTAACTGCACAAGCAGTATCCTGAAAAGTTGGATATTTGGGGTGTATCCTTAAAACATTGACTTTTCTGTAATAGAACTGAAAATAAAATGTCTGTCTCTCTAGAAATGCCCTTCCCAATATCTAATAAACAGACTAAGTGTTCTAACACTATGCCATATTTCCAGGTGTTCATGTAGTTTGCTGTGATAAAGTCATCACATAATCACTTTGATTGCTAGATTGTGCATAGATCCCCCAGTATATTCTAACATAGTAAGTTCATCTTATACATACTCTGAATATGTGTGAGGTGGTTGGATATGTTTGGTCTTAGTACGGCAACAGGTATATGACAAAGCAACCTTCAACAGTTTTCCTATTATATCACATATCTCTGACCTCTTCTGCAACCTCGTCAAGCCTTTGGTAGGCATACTGAACTTCCATCTGGTAATGGCATATTCATCACACACAAAGAACAGAAAATTATTTTCAGTACAGTATCTTGAATAAGAGACTCAAGCATATTGCAGAAGAAAGAATGCAAGAGAAGTTGACAACTGGAAGTCTTCAGGTATAGGAGACCAGCAGTCCTGAAACAGCCTGTACAGCATTGTACAATACCAACCTAAACTATTCCTAGAATGCACCAAGAAAACCCCACAAAAGTTTCTTTGTTTATTCTGGGAAGGTTTCTGTTCCAATCAGATCCTGTCATTGCAATTTAGATTCTGCATGGTTATAAATGTGTCCATTTCTCTCTGTGAGAGATATACCCACCCCAAATTTTAGCATTTCTTATTTTGCAGGAAGTGCCTTTATATCGTAGTGAGTTTGCTATGTTGATCACTGTCAAAAGGAGTCATGGATTGAACAAAAAATGTTTGTGTTATTTGATGTTTAAGAATCTATGTCCGGTCTTGGAGATACAATGAACATTCTTACTTTGGGAATATGGTGCCATCCACTTAGGAGTAGGATGCAGAGAAATAATTCAGAACCAAGTTTGCATTGTTGATTTCAACAAGAGAGCTATGAATGTACAATCTAAACTAGCTGAAAACTGAAATGTAGTACGGAGGTAGTTCAGATTTCTTTACACTCTAATGCAGGATCGGCAGATCTCTTCAACCTTTGGAATATGGTGCCATCCACTTAGGAGTAGGATGCAGAGAAATAATTCAGAACCAAGTTTGCATTGTTGATTTCAACAAGAGAGCTATGAATGTACAATCTAAACTAGCTGAAAACTGAAATGTAGTACGGAGGTAGTTCAGATTTCTTTACACTCTAATGCAGGGTCGGCAGATCTCTTCAACCTTTGGAAAACAGATTAGGCCTGAGTTCTGAATTATGAAGTAGTATACATAAATGGTGCTCTCTTCATTATAGATTTAGATTAGGCATCCTTCAGTCTTGAGAGACTATGGTAGCATGCTCTGTATGGAGGACCTGGAACAGCATCTAGCGTGGCTGAGAAGGCTAATTCGAGAGTGACAATCCCTTCCACACTGAAGACAATTACAATCTGTCCCCTGTCCAGCTACCTGATTTTGCTGCTTTCGTGACTGCCTCTTTGCCTCGGCCTGCTGGACAAGGGTCTCTTCAAATTGGGAGAGGCTGTAATGCACCACTTGCCTCCAGGCTGAACGCTCAGATGTCAAGGCTTCCCATATGTTGAGGTCCATTCCTAAGGCCTTCAGATCCCGCTTGCAGATATCCTTCGAATATGGTGCTGGAGTAGAGTTGTGCAGACGCCCTGGACTGCCAGAAAGTCAAACAAGTGGGTTCTAGATCAAATCAAGCCTGAACTATCTTTGGAGGCAAAAATGTTGAAACTGAGGCTGTCTTACTTTGGTTGCATCATAAGAAGACACAATTATCTGAAAAAGACAATAACGCTGCGAAAGGTGGAAGGCAGCAAGAAAAGAGGAAGATCAAATGTGAGATAGACTGACTTCCTACAAAACCCCCAGGCTTGAGTTTACAAGACCTGAGCAGGGCTATTGAGGACAGGACATTTTTGGAGATAACTCATTCATGGCATTGCCATGAATCGAGGGTGACCTGATGACACATAACTGCTTACTACTACTACAGAGTTCAAGATTGCAGCCATGATAACCATCTCTAAAGGGATTAATTTGTGTGTCAGAGTGCCTTCAGTTTCCATTCCCAGGCCACTAGTAGAAAACAGATAATTCCATCAGGAATACAGAAGTTTGGTATACGTACATATTATGTGCCATGTCCAACTTTTCACCTAGGATAATCTGTAGTGCATGTCTCAGAAGACCCAATTGCAGCCAGTCAGCCAAACAGGAAATGTTGGAATTTCAAAACCTGTATCCAAATTCATCTCTCTCTCTCTCTTTCCACTTGTACTTTCTAAAAAAAAGAAGTGTAAGCTTTCAGTCTTGGCCTGACGCCATTTTCTATCATTCTAGATGTATTGGAGTCATAGGTGTTGGCCTGGATCTTCTAATATACAATCGATTTTAATAGTTAGCTCAAATTCAAGTTAAATTAAGCTTCAGGTTCCTAATTTACCATGAGTTTATCTAATTTTCTCTTCTACAGAGAAAATGTAGAGAAGCTATTTCCAGGGTTGCTGGTTGTCTCTCGCATTTGAAGCACAAGTCACTTGTTCAATCTATGTATTTCCTACAACAGTTGTAAATAATGAGCTGTAATTAGGGCCCTGGAGTCACAACACTCATTTCCACAGGCTCATAAAATGGTTTTTAAATTCTGAATCAGAGCTTGGAAAAGCAGAGCAGTGTGTTACAAACTACAAGGATCATACAGTATTGGCTGTAGGATTCTTGAAGTTATTGTCCCCCAAAATTAACTTTTCTGTTTACTTTCAAGTGTTCTCTGCTTTGTGACGAAAGGCCTTGACAAAACCAAAGTTATTTTTCTTCAGTTGTGGTGAGTGTTTCTTGAATGGATGGTTCACCTGCAAGGGTGTTATCTGAAATGACTGCTTGGCAGATGCAGCATGAGAAATCAGTTTTTGATTTTGAAATGATATGGACAGAAACAAGAACGTATGGATTCTGGGCTGCAGCTAACATATACATCTTGTAAATCTATAAATGAAGAAATCTCTACACACATCCCATATCTGCATGCTCTTTCATCTAAGCTATGTATTGTTGCCAAAGGCCTTGGAAGTAATTTCCTGCAGAAAAATAATTTTATATAACAGGAGTGCTTGACAGAAGTGCAACTACCCCCAAGGACATGCCAAAGAATTACATGGAAAAACATGTTAATTCAGAACACAAGATGTCTTATCTTAGGAATCCTTGCAAAGGATACAAGGACTACCATGAGATCTGATGGAATTCCATCATGGGTTGTTTCTGCAATTGATCAAAGATCCATTTGATCACCCAGGTATGTTCCTGATTCCTCCCCCTCCCCTTCTAGTTACTCTTGGCTTCTAAGGCATTGCTTTTAATGGTTTTAATGTTCTACTACTCTTATACAGTATATTGTATTTATTGCATGCTCTTATTATAAGCCACAGAGATTTTTTAAAGAAGAAAAATAGTATAAAAAGTAGTATAGAAATATTATTAAAGAAATAGAAATGCACTCTTCTGTGACCCAATATTCTGTCAACACACTCATCACTCCACTAAGCAAAGGAGTAGTATAGTGCTGTCCTCTGAAGATGCCGGCCACAGAGACTGGCGAAACGTTAGGAAGAACACGACCAAAGAGCCCGAAAAACCCACAACAACCAGTAGTAATTTGCCTTTTCCTGGGTAGAGCTGTGCAGGAGTAAATCTAAGCCTCCCCCAGTATACAGGGCTGCTGAATTAATTATTTTATTTTATTTATTTTATTTATTTGATTTTTACCCCGCCCCTCTAGACCATGTCTACTTTTGTAGAATATTTTAATCAAGAAACAGGTTGGTTTTTTTTCTTAAGCTAAGAGGAATTAACAATATATACAGGAAGCTGTAATTAGGTTTGCGATTCTTCTGTTTAAATCATTTGAAGGCAACCAAGCCATCCCTCTCCATCGGAAACCAATTTAGTGAGACGATTTTTGAAAAGAGGACATTCTACGTCCCTGATCCGCCTCCTCTTCAAAATACTCCTGGGAATAGGGGGTTGCCATGGTTACTTGAATCGGCTCAGCTGATGGCTTGAGGCAGCTGCACCAATCCAGCGGTGCAGCCCGGAATGATGCTGAAGGGATCCGGCAGGTGATTGGGCGATGGCTGCAGCCTGCAATTAAGGGGGATGTGGCAAAGACGAGAGAGTTTAAAACAAAGTGAACCGGGCGCTTTAGGCTGGTGCTTTTTCTGCTCCAAGATCCGGTCAAGCCCTGCTTTGTCCCCTATACAGGTAAGGCGCCGGTTCTGCTAGATTTTGTGAAACAGATTCCGTATGGGATTTGTAGGACCGCGAACGGTCAAGCAAGCGGAGGTTCTCTGTTAATGCGCGGTCGCTGTTTGGGCAATGCTTGCACGACAACAAGGTGCACATCTAGGGTTAGGAAACAGCAGGTTGCATAACTTCTTGTTACAAAATTAATCAGCGATGGGGAAAAAAAACTTGTCTGCAATTGTATTGTTTTTTGCTTTCCGAGCCCACCCACGTTTTTAGACAGGCTCTACAAGCGGGGGTGTGGCTTGTATTCATAAACTGACCTTTTCGAATGTCAGAAAAATGCCAAACGCCTTGGTTCGGCGTTTTATTTTTTTATTTGCCTCACGTTCCAGCACGGCAGTTTTGGGGGGTTTAGACGGTTAAAGCGCCTGCCTTTTTTTATAATCCCGTCTGCCAATTGCGAATAAATAATGGGTTGTCGATATGACCCAATAAAGTCTAATCTCTTCAGTGTTTCCTCCCTCCTTTATGCATGTGTTTTTGAACGGAGTTCAAAGGGTTCTGTTTCTCGCTAACTGAACGTCAGAAAAATATTCGTCACGGTGCAAAGGTTTGATCGCATGTAGAATAAATCGTTTTCGAAATGCAAAGAAGAATCTGGACATATGCAGTAGTTGTGATAGTGGGCCAAGACGGCATTTTGCAAAATGAGTAGAAGCTTCATGTAACTCCTGAGTGAAGGAGGAAAGAAGGAAGGAAGCGCGCGGTTTGCTGATAAACCTTGCTCAGCGCAGCCACCAGGCTTGTACATTTGTTGAGAAGAGGGAGGGAGGGAATCTTCCTGGTTTTTTAGAAGTTAACGTGCGGTAGTGAACAGAGTACAGTACAGTATATTGCACGAGACTCTGGTAAGGAGAGCTACTTTGAAGTACCCACTTAGCTATGATCGCCTAACTTTCCTTGGAGATGTTGTAAAGCTGAGGGGTAATTTGGGGTTAGAATACCATCCTGAACTCTGTAGAGAAAAGGTGAAATTAACATAAAGTTTCCAAAGAAGTAGCTGTGTCGAACTGGCTCAGCAAATTGGCAAAAGAATTACATACACATTTATTTCAGGAACAAGAAAACAAACGTTGAAAGTTAGCATTTTGCCAGTATTCTAGTGGTCTAATAAAGTACCCCTCATTTTAGATTTATTTCCATGTTATCTTTTGTGTATCAACATTTGTTTATTTATTTGATTTATATGAGGGTTTTGTTTTTATGTACAATTCCTTAATTTATGTTTATGTTGTATATGTTGTGTGTGTTAACGCTAGCAAAGAAACCACTTAGAGTAGTGACTTGTCTACTGGATGGGTGGGACATACAGTAAGTTTAAATAAAATATAAACTACCCCATTAGTGTGATGCTGGTTGGTTTACAATAAATGAAACATATACTCATAAGCAACAAATAAACAAAAAATTAAAAACTTGAAAACATTAGATTAAACAAATGGCGCCAAGGACAGGTTCTCAATACGACAGTAGGACTAGAGGCGTTAAATCAAGCAGGGTAGGTGTGGAAGACCTCCCTGAAAAGTAGTATTTTAAGTTGCTTTCTAAAGGTTAACAAGGAGGAGGTCAGAAAAATCCATTTCTTCAGACATAGTGGGGGAATGCAAATACTTTGTCCTCTTATATTTGCGTGTGTCCCCATGGTGATAGACTTCCAGACTGCTGGAAGTCATCCAAAATTCAGAAGTATGTACAAGTAAGATTGCAATTAGATAAGAAAATAAAGGAAAACTAGTTGTTTGATCCGTGCTTGGGAACACAATTCTGTGTTGACTAATCATGCCTTTATTACATAATTAAAAATTTGTAAACAAGGCAGTTTTTGACTTCTTCACCAAACAAAATGATGTAAATCTGGGGATAGTAGAGGCAAAGTTTTTAGAACATCATCACATGTTGTCTCTTGTCCTAACAGACAGACGGTGAGCAAGGCAATATCATGTTTGTTGTTTTAATGTAAAACAAAGGCTCCACAGGTTCAGGTTACAGCTTGCTGACTTTCTTTCTTCCCTTAAATTTGTACATCAATAAAAGTTAAAAAAAAAAAACAATTGGAAACAAAAATAAAAGTTCTAATGTCCTGAACAGTTTGGCCACCAAACAAGTTAGAATATGTATAAGATCACTGTACATAAACCAGGAAAGTAGCTGGGTTGTCTTTTTTTAAAAAAAATGTGTGGAAATGTCGGGTGTGCAGGAACTGGTTTGAGAACCACATTATGCCAGAGGCTTCATGATTCCTACCTTTGCTATGGAAAAAAGCAAGTTGGGACCCCTGTGAATCCAGCCATTACCCTTAGTTAGAAATGATCTGTTATAATGGAAAAAAGCTTTTTACCCCTGTTATTCAGTCTGTATATTTTATTGCTTTCATTTGGGCATTGATGTATTTTTCTCATGTTTCTCTGTAGGGGAAAATTATAAACATAAGTATATGGAAACAATACTATAAATCATGTTCTTTCTTGCATGTATAAAGATGTCTGCCATTTAATTAGAAGTGTGAGCTAAAGCAGGGTGGACAGTAGATAGATTTCAATCTACTGGTGGATTTCTAGGCTATTTGCAGTAAATTATAAACATTTATGGTTCTCAATTGTCAAACAGTAACAGCAAAGAAATGACTCCTTTCTTACCCAAGAAACTATAGGTCCAATAATTCCTTCAGCAAGCATGGCCCTTGGCTGCATTCCCTATGTAATTCCAGGAGTTATAATCCCAAAAAATAACTTTTCTAAGGTTTGCTTATATTGAACTGCACAGGCGAAGAACACTTGGATTAACCAAAGGAATTGGAGTAGATTTTTGTATGAAAGCACTGTTGCAGAGTTTTTTAAAATTCTAGTAACATTCCTTTTTTTTTTAAACCAAACTCCAGGAGGCAGTGGAAGACAGGAGGACCTGGCATGCTCTAGTCCTTGGGGTCACGAAGAGTTGGACAGGACTTAACAATTAAACAAAACATTCCTTTTTGCTGCACAGTAGAAGTACACAGATCCACAGGTTACGCTTTGAAAACTATGCTGGGCTTTCTGTTTCTTTGTGTAATTATGTACTAAGCAGGCAGGTTTGTGTCTCATCTTAAATCTTCCAAAGCTATTTCTGATTTGTGAATCTCAAAAAATGAGAGAAGGTGAAGAACAGGTGCTCCTGCTTGTATTGTGTGGTGTACAGTGCTGAAGATCTTTTAATGAAGGTCTTGGTTAAAAGACCATACATTGTTTTTCCAGTTTTTCTTCAGCAATGGTTGTAAATCTGCATTGCTGCTTTTTTCTGCAGTAGGTATCCTAAAGGGCAAGGCTGCTGAGTGCCTCTAAAAAGAGGTGGTGATGGCTGTCCAAGTCACATCTAGTCTTGAGCATCTGGCTGCAGAGGAAGAGGCTGTGAATTTGATTCCCCACTGTGCCTCCTTGACAGGGACTACACTTAATGATCTTTAGAGTCCCTCCCAGCTATGCAGTTCTAAAATGATTAGATTAAATTATTAAGGTCCCCTGCATGACACTGCTCATTCATGAAAGTTTCTCTAGGTCTCCTCTTGGATTCCCCTCAATGGAAATCTGTGTGTCCAGCATAAGTAGACTTCTACATGCCAGGTGTTGCAAGACAGACAACAGGAAAATGCTGCTTTCCTCATGCTCTCCTTGCTTCCTGGAGGTATTTTTGCTAATCGTTGCTGGCATAATTGAGACAGGTGATTTGGTCAAGCATGTAAATGTGAGTTATAAAACAGGGTCTGAACCCTGAAAGATGGTCGCCCATATCTTTTTCCTCTTGACACAGTGACTGTTTCAGGCCCGGCCATCGTATAGCAGCATAGTATGTGTGATATTAAAGCTGCCCTGTTTTTTATGTTGGCAGAACCAAACTTTGGGCACCACTTGGTCATCACCAATGATTGTGTGAAATTGGAAGAATACTGAGGTATTTCACAGGTAGGAAATTGAATAGGGCAATTAACAGTGTGCACATTACAAACACAAGTGTAATGAAAATTAAAAAAATATTGAGTAAAGAATCAAGGTTAATTCCTAACTGTTAACTGCTTAGTACTAAAAGCAGAGCAGAAGCAGGTGACTAGGTCTTGCGGTGCTACAGAGAGAGATTTGCCTTCCCTGTCTCTGCTTTATTTGGCATAGAAGCTACAGAGAACCACCCTGGAGGTGTTTCCTCTCCTTCTACTTGAACAAAGTGGGAGAAACTGTGCAATGAGACATTTTGATGTAACCTTTTGCTAAGGTGGTTTTAGTGGGTATTTGGCTGCAGGGCCAGAACGTAGTAGTTGGACTTCTCACTGTGCCTCCAGGAGCAAAGAGCCAGCCTGTGTAGCCTGGGAGGGTTGCCATAAATCAGAATTGACTTGATGGAACATAATAGTTATTATGTTTGAGGAAGATTGCTTCTTTCTTCCATAGAGATTCTTAGTGTCACAACAAAAATATTTAATAGATTAAATAGATTAAGGCACAGGTCTTTATCATTCAAGTCAGAAGCCTTGAATGCAGACTTTAGACTGAGTAGTATCACAGAGCAGGCAATGTTTCAAGGCTATGAAAGTTGTCACTCCATGTGGTGTAAATAGAATATATTTCTCAGAAGTGGAACTGGCAGGGAGGGTGTAACCTTGTTGGTACTTCTGGACCTCTTAGAAGCCTTCTGTACCATTAAACTATATCCCTCTGGGCATTCTCTCTGGAATGGATCTTAGAGGCACTTTATGGTAGTTCCAGTGTTTCTACGAGGGCTGATCTCACCTGTGCCTTAATCTATGATTTGTAACTTCCAGAGGTTAATGTAAGAAAAGGAGCTAGATAGAATACATTTCTCAGAAGAAAAAGGGGCACTCCACTGTACCTTTTAAATGGAGTGAAGTATATAGAATCATAGAATAATGAAGTTGGAAGGCACCTATAAGGCCATCAAGTCCAGCCCCCTATTCAATGCAGAAAATGGTGCTGGGGGAAAATATCCTGTTCGACACCATGGCTATTGGTCTTTTGGGTCCCCCAGGGTTCAGATCTTTTCCCCATACTATTTAACATCTACATGAAACTGCTGGGTTGGTAGTCTAGAGTTTGGGGGTTTGGTGTCACCAGCATGTTATGTTACCCAACACACACTCATTACCATCTGAGTCCAAGGGAGATCCATGGGGCCTACGTAAGTTTCTGATGTTGGTGATAGACTGGCTGAGAATGACCTTCTCTTGATCATAGGCCTCACAAGCATTTTTGGTGAAGCTGAAAGAGAGGGCCTTTTCAGTGACTGCTCCCAAACTGGGGAATGCACTCCCCAGGAAGGAAGCTTGCCCCTCTGCCTTTTATCTTTGCACCAGCAGTCAGAAGCCTTCCTTTTTTAGTAGGCTTTTAATTAACTTGGACAAGTACAGACCCCTGCACGATGCAGCATATACGGAATTGAACTGGCATATTTTCAAGTGTGTTTAGATGGTGGACTTTAATAATTGTTGTTTGATTTTTTTTAAAAAAAATGCATCTTATTGTGTTTTTAACTGTGTTGCAATGTTTTAATTGATTGTGCACCACCTTAGGTCTCCTGTGGGGAGAAAGGAAGCATATAGATAAAACTAGTCCATTGTGTGATTGATTGCTTAACATGCAGCCTCCACAGTACTTAGGATCAATAATTAGGAGGTGTGATTTCTCTGATTTGATCTCATATAAAATAGGATTCTGACCATAGCCACCAGGCCATTAATGACTACTAATCAGGATAGCTATATATGATCTGTATATCATTTGCTGGGTAATACAAAACAAAGGGTGGAGTTGTACTCATGTCCTAGTAGCAGGTTTCCCACAAGCAAGGGACTGGCAACAGCAAAGTGAACAGAATGTTGAACAAGGTAGTCTTCGGTCTCATCTAACATGTTTCACCTTATACAGTATTTTCATATAGAAGAGAATATGTGGTCTTTCGGTTGTGTCAATCCGAACGTACAGTGGTGCCCCGCATAGCGACGATAATCTATTACGAAAAAATTGTCGCTATACGGATTCGTCGCTATGCGGAACCAAAAAGCCCATAGGAATGCATTAAAACACTTTTAATGTGTTCCTATGGGCAAAAAACTCACTGTTATGCGAAAATCCTCCATACGGCCACCATTTTCGCTGCCCAGTAGCGAGGAATGGGTGCAAAAACACTGGGGGTGGCCATTTTTTTGCCTGGTGGCCATTTTGGAACCGCGAGGAATGGGCGCGAAAACACTGGGGGCGGCTATTTTTTTACCTGGTGGCCATTTTGGAACCGCCGATCAGCTGTTAAGAAAACATCGCTATGCGATAATCGGTAAGCGAAACAGCTTACCGATCATCGCAAAGCAATGTTTTACCATTTAAAACATCGCAATGCGATCGCAAAAGCGATTGCAAAAAAACACCGCTATGCGGATTCGTCGTTAAACTGGGTGCCCGTTATGCGGGGCACCACTGTATAAAACTACTGCACTTTTAAATGGTCCAGAAAACAACCAGGAGCAGGTGTGTTTTCTAGAATGTAATATAATCCACCTAAGCAAAGAACTGTTATTTGAAAATATTGCAATTCTCCAAATTCAGGAGATAATAGGAAACTGGTCGGTTTAAAAGCAAGACCTTTTTGAATCTACAGAAAAGAAAAGAAAGAAGTTTGGGATTTGCAGATCTTATCAGGTTTGTTCATAAGATGGAAAATCACTCCTCCCCCCATTACATCTGAACTGCAATTTTTTTTATTGAGGCAGATTTCATGACAGCAGTTCAACACTGATGCTATCTCATTTTCAGCACCATTTTTGATGAAACCTTTGTGGAAAATGTATAGATCTTTACAATTTAAAGGCAATTGTACCAGTAAATGTGGCACTTAAATTGTCCCCTCAATAGCCTTAGAAAATTCAATCTGAGTTGCTATTGCATCTCTGACCATTTGCTATTATCTTAGGCATTATGGAAATTGTAACCCATCAACTTTTGGGAAACTCAAGTTGGTAAAGACTGATATGAAAGTTTTAACTGTTACGTACCATATTTTTTGCTCCATAAGACGCAATTCCCCCCCCCAAATGTGGGGGGGACGTCCGTGTGTCTTATGGAGCTAAGGCAGCAATTTTGTCCCCACTGGCCCCGTGGGGGGGAGCGTTGCAAGGGTCCGGGTGAGCCTTCCAGGACCCTTGCGACGCTCCCCCACCCCCCACGGGGCCAGCGAAATTGCAAGCTTCCAGGTGGGAGGAGTGTCGCAAGGGTCCTGGAAAGCTCACTCAGACCCTTGCGACGCTCCTCTCACCCCCGGACGGGGCCAGCCCAGTGAAATCGCCAGTTTCTGGGAGTGTTTGGAGGCTTGGGAAGCCTCTGAAGAGGCACAGAAGGTG